TACACTAATATATCAAAAAGATAAAGGAAAATGATCCATATAGTAACTTAATGATTCAATATTAGCATGAAAAAGAAAATTCAACATGAGATTCTTCCTATGGAAATTATGCGAAAAACAACAAACAATTCCTCTAATTTTAAATAAAATTTGTAGTGTAAATATTTCATAGACAATTAAATTTAAAGTTTCATTATGGATTAGACAAGAGCGAAAGAATTTAGTTTTTACCCGCAATTGCTCGACTGCTGTGGGACAACTTTCAAGAAAATAGATCAATAACGATATAGCTCGTGAAGTTGTATCATGTCCTGCAAAAAGTACGCCTAGCAACAAATCACAAATCTTCTCTTGCGGATAATCTGTATTCTTCATAAGCCATCCAAGAAAATCATCTTCAATCTCTCCTTCATTTCTACCACCCTTTGCTTCTATTCTCGCTTCCATCTCTTTCTTGAACATATCATTTATATACTTCCTCGACTTCATAGAATAAACAAGGATAATTAGAATGATTAATTTACTAAAAAAATATGGAGTGACAATCAGAATAATTATCGCAGAAACTGTCAGTAATGGCAAACCTGTATAGCCTTCCAATATTTTGTGCCAGGGATATACAGAGGAAAGCAGACAAAGGCTTTGATAAATGAATCATATTCTCTGGGTAGCTTCTCAATGTGAGGATTATCAATGCTCATGCTCATTATCTTCTTCACCATAATATAGAGTGAAAACTGCAGTACATATTAAATTTCGTTGAAGTGATTAATTGGTTCCTTCGTCGCATCTAACACAATAAATTGTCCAAGAAATGGTTAGAAAAAGATGAGTTTGTCAATTCCTCACTTTGGAATTTTGTCTCTCAAGTTTCTTTAAGTTCAGTTCCACATTAGATCGGAGAGAAGTTGTTTTGTGACATAAGTAGGGTTAATTACATATAGACCCCTGGAAGTCTACTGTTGCAGATAGAGCCCCTGTACTATCACTCAATTGCGGCTAGACCAGCCTAGGTGGAACTTTGGCTCTGTTACCCTCAGGAGGTTTATTTGTATAAAAAAAAACAACTTTCTCATAATCTGAGAGTAAAAAAATTTGAACCAGGGGATCTATTTGTAACAATTTGAACCAGGGGGTCTATCCACAATTGGGTGATAGGTCATGGGTCTGTTCACAATTTACCCTATAATAGTATTATCACACTTCGGATCAAGGACGGTGTATTTTCACAACGGCATCCTCACAGACTAGCAAAATTTAAACTTTTTTCTCTACTTGTTCATCTATCTTATGCCTTAGGATTTTATTTAATCAAAACAATTTCTAGCAAATAAACATACAGCTATTAATGGTGCAAGAGCTCCTTACCTTAGTTGCTTCATCTTTAGCAGAGATCACAATACCATCCTTCCATGAACTCATAATTTGCACAGCAACATGATCAGCATCTTGTAAAAACACTGTACGTAGCCTCTCGATACTCAAGAAACCCAACACAGTTGATCTCAGGTGCTTATGTACATCTCCAGAAGCCAAAGACATGGAATATTTACCAACAACTTTCTTGAAAGCAAATGACAAATCATTTCGAAACAGTTTTCCCTCGTTCTTTAGTACGAACCAAATTAGCTCAGGATCTGTTGAGACTATGCTCAGGTTTCCGAACAAATGGGAGGAGAAGTTTTTCCCAAACCTGTCCAAATTTATCATTTAGAGTGTGAGTCTGATCTGGTTAGAGTTTTCCAGATATTGGTCCTTGAAATATTTCATATTTATAAATTTGTCCGCTTGAGCTTTGAAATTTCTATTAAATCCTCCAGATCTTGTAAGTTACTCCAAATTAGTTCCCACGGTAAACAACGTTTTGGATGGTATGAAATGTATTGTCAAACTAAACTTTTTAATATGATGCTCCAGTTACACCCTTAATTAAGTTAAATATTCAAATCCATACATGAGTCCAAAAATTCAAAACCAAATCCAAAATCTAAATCTTTCAATCAACTTCATGAGGTGATAATCTATGTCAGACTAATATGGAGGAACTAACGGAACGGCTAATTTGGAGCGACTTATACGGTTTGATGGACAAAATTTCAAAATTTTGAAGGACTAACAAAAAATGTGAAAGATCTAAAGGGCTAGTATAAAAAAACGTAGAATTTTAGATGGAGTCACACCTGGAAATGTGATGCTCCATGAACTCTCCTATGGTAGCAGCTGAGTAAGGCTTCAGAAAAGAGAGAGTCTCTCCAATTAATGGCAAACCCAAGTTTCCAGGTGGGAGCTTCTTCGGACTTCTTAGCTTTCTCACTCTTGTAAAATTGAGGAATGCAATGAGTAAGGCAATGATCATAAGCAAAAGTGTCGCGGGCTCCATCTCTGTTTTCTCTACTCTAAGGCTGATCAATCTGCAGGTACTTATAGAACGTTTCTTTCCTTTGGACTTTGAGACAGTGGTCGTAGTATATTTCAAACAGATGCAGATTAGGACAGGTTTTATTCTCGGCTAATTAGCACTTAAATGCCTTTACTTCGTGCTTACGTACCCTCACTTGTTCTTGACAGCACTCGTATGACTTGAAGTTCTTAAAATGGACACCTTCGTACCGTTCATTATGCAAACGTGAGAATATTCCTCCGAGTATTCTCATGTGACACTGATGTGCTAATATTAGAAATTTTGTACCTTTAACGTCTGTTCAATATGCCAAATGTATCAAAGTTCTACTTTAAAGATATAATCGGGATAGTTTAATAACAATTGAACAAACACTAAGAGCTAGAAAGTTTTAGAATAAAATACTCGATCGAGAGAACATTTCATGTTGGCGTGATGGAAAGTATTGAAATGCCAATGCTTAAAGACATCAGCATATGTTAAATGCTGACAAGAAACAAGTGAAGGTACACCAAAGTGATAATTAGCATTTTACTTTTTTGAATTAGGCCGGCTTAATATGGGGAGAAGATACACAGAGAAAGTTACGAGCGGGCTAAGATGCATCTTTGTCTTCATTCATACGATGAAGAGAAACTTAGAAGCGGGCTGAGATCCATCTTTGTCTTCATTGATACGAAGAAATCATGGAACGGAAGCGACTATAAAAATGTTAGAGACGTATATATCTCATTTTTTTTATTGCTCATCTTGGTATTTTATAGCGCTGATTTCTTAGCAAGCATCACTTTGTTTGCTTACGACGGAGCTCAACGCCACATCCTCACATTTCTAAGAACCCCTCGATCTAATGTTTTACCATTAAACATTGGTAGTTGTTACTCCCCGTGTATTGAGTCCTCATGCTGGTTCTCTGTCTTGAGCATGGCCAAATACGCTATTCTTTTTAGGGTAAAGTAAAAAAATTTCTGGCAGAAAACTGCCATCGGGACTCAATAGACTTGAAATAATAACTATAAGATCTTAGCATACTAAAAGACTAGTGTGAATACCGTGCATAGCACGATATTTTTTCCCCGTTACAGTATTGCTGGTTTTAACTGCTACAGTGTTTTTGCAACAATATTCTGCCCTGCTACAGTATTTCCATGTGAGCTACGGTAACATTTTCCAAAAGCAGAGCGCCCAGTTTCATGCTGCTATAGTAAATGTTACTGTAATATTTACTGTAGCATGAATAGTGAAAAGTTGGTTCTCCCATTTGTACAGAGAAGTAGATTAGGTTAAGTGTTTTTTTTTTTAAATGTAACATAAACGTTAAAGATGGATCTGACTTTGAGCTCCCTGTGACATGTAAAATGTTAATTTTTCAAACGGTCCTCCACCTATCCCAACTTATTAGGATTGTTTTAAAGGAGACTACCTACATGAGATTTGGATACTCCCTAATTCAGCTGAGCAGCGAGGGTTGACCTTTTCTACCATATTTAACCATAAGAGGCAAAAGCCTCATGTTAGATGGAAGCATGAGCACCGCCCCTCATCGGTTTTATCGCAACTCCTTCAGTCTCTTGGAGCAATTTCTCCTTAGAAAGCTCTCACTGGTTGCCGGCTAGTAATTTGCTTGTTGTCTTCCGCTCCATTACACTGAGGTGCCAGCCTACAGAAGGACAGATATCCGTATGAATTATGTCATTGCTTCGGTGTGCGCTGTTACTCTACAATGCAGCAAGTTAAACTTTCGGATGAAATAATTCTTCACGCTGTCACATAACCAGGTTTTAAGAAGCACCGAGTCCGCCGCTAATTCACATAATTTTCTGTGTGGGCAGCTGACTTGTTAGTCATTCTTATTAAGAGCATGTTTGGCAAGTGGTTAAAGTGAGTTATAAACCGCTCTCGATATTTTGACAAATAACTTATTTTGGCTCATAAACCATCCAAGAAATAAGCTAGGACACTCTTAGCTTATTTTTTGGTAGCTCATAAGCCACAAAATTTCACCAAGTAAAAGACCAATCACTCTCTCACTCTCTCTCTCTCTCTCCCTCCAATCGCACTAAATATTTTTCGTCCTTTTTGACAATAATAATGACTTATAAAGCACCCATTTGCCAAATATTATACTACTATAAATGGATTATAATCCACTAAATTTATCAAACTCCAACTTATAATCCACTTTGCTTGTAATCTAATTCTGGATTATAAGTCAAGAAGACTATAATCCAAAGTTGCCAAAACATGCCCCAAGCAACAAATCCAACAATTTCTCAGCTCAAATGATTCTCAATGGGAAATGCCAATGCACGATTTAACAATTCATAACTCAAGATAATAACATATGGACAAAACACTCCAAATCCCCCTGCATATCCCTTCTCGCACGTAATCAGTGAAACTGAAGAAAATGACATGGCGGCAACACCAGAGCTCAAGCCAAAAAAAATCACTGAATTTCAACATCTCAAACAACAATAGAGAGAAGGAATTACAAGCGAAGAAACTTCAGATTAAAAGACACTTTACAGCATCTTTGAGCCTTGTCAAAGCTCAGTTCAAAAAAGGTTACACGAGGAAAGAATGAAACCTATGACACTCACCAAACTGATAGTAAACCATAATCCATAATCAATGATTTCATTGCATCCTTGTTCATCATACTAAATTGGTCTTGTTGACAAAGGATATCCCAATAATTGCGCAACAAAACTCATCTTTGTCATCCAATATACAGTTAGAATTCAATTAATAATCTCCTCTCCCAGATTGATGAGCCAAAAGATATTTGCCATCAACTACCCTGTGATAATAACAGTTGTATATTATCAATCGCAACCATATAACAAAGCAAAGGAACTTACCATAATAAAATGTCAGTATGGTAAAAGTAAAGTGCAAAATGGCATGCATAATCATCCTTATCTAGAGAAAATTAATTACTGGTACTGATGTTTACCTGTGAAGCGAGTACATCGTGCAATATACAACTTATAACAAGAATCAAAAGTCATACTTTGTCCTTCCACTCTTTAGTACAAGGCACAGCATATCTGGTAGTTTGGATGTTGTATTGTAAAAGTTCCAAGATTCCAACATTAGTCGTTTTCTCGATCCCTTGAAATGAACAACCTAAATAAGATTGCAACGCGTTATGAAGAGTTACAAAACCATGCCGAAAGAGACTAAAAAATACAGTTGATTTATAACATGCTGACTCGATTAATCCTTGAAAAGGTATTAGTCAAATACATATCCGAACCACAAAAAAAAAAAGAGTTCCCTTTTTTTAACATAAAACATAGAACTTTTAGAACATGGGACTTTCCATAAGCCAATTTCATTAGCCAAGCTCAATGCCAAATTTTTATTTAAAAAGTACCTCAAATCATACATTATACTTCGAAAAGAGCCTCAAATACATGACTGGCGATTAAATCCTTCAAAATATTCTTTCAAATAAGTCCCTTGAATTAGCATGTGCTCTTTAAATATGAACCATTCCTAAAAATTTATAGAGCTTGACTTTCTTCCTATTTTAACCATATCCTTCCTGTTGTCTCCATGTTCAAAATTTCTTTTCGTTCTTTTTTTGCCCATGGCGGGAAACCTGAATGGTTGGCAGGTTCCAATATGGCTTCCACGGTCCTAGGTTCGATTCCGGGCTTGGTTATCAAAAAAATAAAAGAAAAAAAGAACTTTTCCAATAGCCATGCTTAAATCAAACAGTTGGGAATTCATTTTATTGATTAAACACAAAGGCATAAGAGAAAGGAGGTATGAATAGGTGGATATAAGAGATGTTGTAGAAAAGAGTTTTTTTTTTGGGTGAGAGGGAAGAGGGTGCTGAACTAAAAGAAACAGAGGAAAATTATATTCTCATTGATTATGAGGAAGAAGCAAAACCCATACTTATACATTTTATGGAATATCTACAAAAGTAAACTCTAACAAGAAAAGTAAATATATACTAAAGAAAAGTCCTAAATAGAGAGGTACTATAGTTAACTACGACATTGAATCTAGACATCTTTATTAAACCCAACAAATAACATGGGATGCAATGAATCTTCCGAATCTTCCAATATTCCTCCTAAAGCTGAAGCGTAGTGGTTAACGAAGCAAATATTGTACCAAAAAGAGTTGAATAACTTTTCTGTCATAGACTCATAGTATCTTCGTCAGATCAATAATTGATGATAGCTTGCCCAAACAAAAAGACTTGAACAATATCCCCCTCATGGTATATCGGTCATATCAACATAAAAGTGATTGAAGTGAACACGATCATATCAACAATAGGTTAAAGACCAAAACAACACCAAGAGAAATAAAGGCTCTGCAAATGACGACAAAAAAAGATTCGCGAGCAATAAAAGTTAACGATGCTTCGCGAGCAACATAAATAAAAAGATTCTTGCAAGCGAAATAAAAGACCGTGCCATACACGGTACAAAACTCCAATGTTGGTTGAAGACTATGCTGAGATTCGAAGAAAACAAAGTAGGTACATAAGAGCACCAAAGATGAGATCAATATAGGTGCTAGAATAACACTGATATATAAAAAAACGAGATTTGTTCGAGAAGACATTAGTTATGTGAATGAGACTATGTTAATGAGACAAGCACACCACATATAATGGCTCAATAAAAAGTTGATTTGATTTGAGTGCAAATTGCAAAAGCTTGCAAAAGCAAGTGGTTTTGGTTGGTATACTCGCTTGGTTGGGCGTGAGTGCAAATTTTAAATACAATCTCAAGTTCTCAACCAGCCGATCGATTGCGAGGAAGACAATAACTTGTTGCAAATAATTCATCAAATAGAAAACCAAGCACTAATAGAAAATCAAGTGCCAAAAATCCTATCAAACTATCCAAGCCCCAAGCATGCAAACCACCAGAACAAAATACACCAATGTTGAAGGCAGCAATTCCTTAGGCGGGTGCGAGGGTAATTGATTTCGTAAACAACAACCAACAGAGAGGATGATGGTGATTGAATCAAATTTTATCGAAGATATTCAGCAAGGTTGAAACCAGAAAATCTTAAATAGATGAAAAAAGAAAATATCAATGTGTCGAAGCGGCAACTAAAGTCAATGCTGCCGAGGGGAAGCACATAGCCGATGCTTGCGGCAAAACCCCTTGGCTGTCCCGAGATCTAGAATAAGAAGAGAGCTCTATAGGATCGATAACTTCGCTCTGATACCATGCTGAAATAAAACAAAGAGAGTAAATTTATATTCTTATTGATTATGAAGAAGAGGCAAAGCCCATACTTACGCACTTTGTGGAATATCTATAAAAGTAAACTCTAAAAAAAGTAAACATATACTAAAAGAAAGTGCTAAATAGAGAGGTAATATAATTAGCTAACACACTGAATCTAGACATGTTTATTAAAGCTAACATATAATATGAGATCTTCCAATAAAAGCAATGAATATTCTGAATCTTCCAATAGAGCGAAAATATATCTCTAACAAGTATAATGGAATCTCCAATTAAAGGGGACATGTTAAGCAGGAGTAACATGAAGAAACTCATTAGACTTGGAGACTAAATAACAGTTACATTATTTGGAGGTTTTAAAATTGTGTGTGACCTGGGAGGAGTATTTTTAAATAAAAAAATTGACAATATAAGGACCAGGACCAACCCACAAAAGTGTGTTGGATACGATGAAAAGCGCCTCTCTAATTTTTTAGCACAAACTTGTGGTGCACTCGATACATACCATCAGCTATTGTACCTTCTTTCTGAACATGTGAACTAGTAACCATGTCCAATGCCATCCAGAAAACCCAGGTTAAAACCACCAACTGCTTTACTCCTAGGCAACATGAAAGAAAAGAGCAATACCAGAGAAAAGTTCTAAATGCAGTGATCTCCAATCAGATAAGAATTTGGATGACACATCATTGCTAATCATCATTCTATTGCAACATTGGTAATTCTATATAAAAGATGTCAAATGAAGATTCTATTAAGCAAAGGTCTAGTATATACGCTTCCTAATGCCTTGTTTGGTACATGCTATGATACCCCGAAACGACAATTTTGGTGCCGTACTCGTGTCGGGTGCTGTTTGGGTACGTTTCCGCACCCAAACGGAGGGGACACGGGAGTTTTGGAGCAAAGAAAAATGGGTTTAGATGCAAGGAAGAAGAGAACTCTCTCTCTTATTTCCTTAGTTTTAAATTTGTTAGTGGAACATGACATCACCATTCACATGGGTGCTTGACTATTTGCTTTTGTCTTTTCTTTAAAATTAATGGCAATGTTAAGAATGAGAGACATGTGTTCTCATATTTAAATAGGTAAGTGTATATGTATGTATATACGTACATATTTATTTATTTATTTATTCTTTTTTATGCTTATGTGGAATATAAAGTCAAAGTTTCAAATGAGTTTAGCCGTGCCCCCGTACCCTACTTTTTTACAAATTTTCCGTGCCCCGTACCTGTACACGTGTCTGTACCCGTACCTGTGCAACCTAGGACCGTACATGAGAATTGAATGAAGTGAGAATGAAATGAAGCAAGGAATAGAATGGAATTAATGTGAGAATGGAATACTCATTTTCATTCTCACGTTTGGATGCAATTTAAAGAATGAAGTGGGAATGAACATATTTGAAAGTTATGTACTTTTTATTTCCTATTAAATGGGAAGGCCCATCCCCATCATCTCATTGGGAATGCTCATTCCCGCATAAAGTAAGAATGAAGGGGAAGAGGGCATGAGCATTCTAACTTCCAAATAGAGGTTATGTTGGGTACATAGGAATGAGATGTGGTATTGTCATTCCATTTCCACTCATTCTCATATACCAAACTAGGCCTAAGTGTATCATTCATTACACGGACATAATATATATCAGCTGAGAAATCTGCAAAAGCTATAGATGCAATTCGGTGCTGGATAATTCTGGACCACATCCATACACTCCATAACCATTTTGTATATTCAAACAATGGTAGCGGTAAGGAACAGCACTAGCAAAAAGGAGAGAATGTGTCAGATGTATTGAGTAGCTTAGTTAAAACAAGATTTTGATTTGGAATTCATATTCTAGAATGTTATTTCTGTTCAACGTGCTTAACCGGTTGGTCCTGCACTGTAGAATAAGGTCACTTATCAATCTAGATACCAACAACTCCAACATAAACTTATGAACATGTCCAAATCCTTTTTCCAAATTTACTTTGGAAAATATATACAATAAAAAATTATAGAGAGGCCTTTTCAACTGAATTTGGAATGAAGATGACAATTTTATTCTTCTTAAGGGGTACTTTAGCACCCACTTGTGAAGTTCACCAATATGAACAGCTATGCTGAGAAAAATAGATGTATAAGCCAACAATATGAATAGCTATGTTGAGAAAAGTATAAATTGTACTATAACTTCACGGAATTCCCTTCATGCACGAGTTTGGACATGGCAAACAATCGATCAATAAATTTGCATACCATGGACTATCCAACTTTGGAAAGTGCCTGTGAAATTAATAAAGCTACTTTGTATCACGAATATGCATATGAAATCAAATAGTAAATCGTTAAGATGCATTTTTAGGACCTGGATAACACTTACCTGTACATCCAATGGCATGCCATGAAATTGCCCAGCACCCTCAGGTGGAGTCCAATTATAAACAGCACATGGCAGAAAAAGTACAGACACACCATTGACTTCACTTGAAAAGGCTTCAGGCTTGCCAAATTTTTTTGCAACAAATGGTAAATGAGCCTTTACAACTGATGCAAGGGCTAACTGATCTCCAAGCATGCGGGAAGCCTTCATATATTTTGAGACATACACATCAAGGACTTCTTGTAGAAAGATCTTTGCCCTAGAACCAAAAGCGATGAGTTATATATTAATCCCCCTCAAACCATAAAAAACACATTACTGGAAGAAGCATGATGAACTAACTTAAGAATTCCATCTGGAGTGCCCCTCACTGCAATAAAACCAGAATTCAGAGGCTGCTCTTTATTGTTTCTGAAAGTGAGAGCCAAGTGGAATTGTGGATACTTTTGGAATATATGCCCAAGATCATCTACTACTGCAACATCTGAATCAGTGAAAACATAATGACTAACTGACTTTGCCTTCTGAAGCTGCTCAAGCCTACTATGCAAAAACACCTGCAAGACATTAGCAGGTGAATAAAAATATCATCACAAAAGTGGCATCAGAATTAAACTTGGGTAAGTTGTAAATAATATTAGTACAGGTATGAAACAGACATGTCCATTCATGATGTTAAGAATGAGTAATCTAATTCAAGGCATTTAGAGGGGACATATATAAACATGTGAATATACATACTAAGAAAGTCAGCACAGAACACTTAACATATTAACAGCTTCCTAAATCTTGCAAATCAAAGAAAAAGAACACAAGCCGAAAGAAATTAGCATATGATGAATATAGTTTATTTAACGCCAAACTATCAAGATTGCAGGAGTACATGCAGATAGCAAGCATTAGAAAAAAAACCCACTTCAGATCCATGTTCACAGCACCAGTTTGAAATGATAAATTTCTTTAAGATGCTAAAGATGATGAGGACATGATGCATATTTCTATGGACTACAAAGATGATGTTGCAAGGCAGGATATGAAAACAAGTTAAAGATTCGAAAACAAAAAATGGCGAACCAAAGTCTCATCCAATAGTTCAAGAGCTTTACATTTCTTTTCTTTTCTTCTCTTTTTCCCCCTTTTTGGAGATATAGGTGATATTAGTCATCTGTTAGTTCTATTGTCCTATATTCAAGTACTGGAAGTCCTATGGAATCCAATCGAAAGGGAGATTGGAAAATTCACAAGATTGTGGAAAATCAAAAACTGTTGACAAAGAAACGATTGCTGAATACAGCCAAGCAATCTGAAGTTTTGGTTTGAGCAAACTGGTGAAAAGCACTTTGATTTAAATTGAACAATTTTTATCATGATTTTGGAAAATGTAGCTTACTGAGCTTGCTTGATGAAAGATTGGCTAAATTTGGTTAACTGAACATAGGAAAAACCAGAGGTGCATTGTGGATAAAGAATACTAAACTGATATTTTCCTTCTAATTAATAGGCCATATATGTTCTTCAGAGATTTTGGAAGAGTGAACACTCTGGTCACGGAAGAAAATCAGAAAGATGTTTATTATCAATAAGCAATGGTTTTAACCAATAGGAGAGAATTCTTCTCCAAGGATGGGTTTTAATCAAATGTAAGAGTCTTCTCAGCTTCACACCTCATATGAGATATGGAACATGACTTAGAGGAATATCAGGATTCAAAGAGATGGCATGTGCTCTTATCCATGGCCATAGCGAACATCTCGGGCATGGATATCCCATGGATGTAGGCCCATCTAGACCAAACGATGTGTGTTTCTTCCTCAGGAATTGAATCCTCAAAACCCTAGTTCCCTGAATTCACTTCACCAATTTCTTGTAAAAATAAGTACTTTGGCCATTCTACCAGTTAAAAACTAGAACGAGATGACAATATCATTGCTGAAAGATAAGAACTAAGGTAAATAAATATTTTAGCTGACCTTCAAGAATAATTGCAATGCTACTGTTACTGTTAGTCTGTTACAAAAAGAAACTATGTAGGACAAAATAATAATCTACAGAAACATCTATTACTATATTTAAGAAAAGCCTGGCTTTTGGTCTATTCTTTGGTCCATGACTCACATCTCTTTCTTCCCATTAACTTACATTCTTTTTTTAATTGTGAAAGGGGCATAATTGGAAAATTAAAATAAAATGAGGAAACCGCTTCAAATGAAAACCACTCCGTTGACACGGCAGTTACCGTCATATTTTGCAGGCAAGTGAATAAACAGCCTTATCCACGTTTTAAGCAAAATTAATTTGAAGAACCAATCAATTAGCCAACAAAGAATGTCATGGTCTCCGACTTTCTGCCAAGAAAGCAGTGGCCACATCAGAGCCTTGGCCATGGCTAGCATTGGCAAGGTAGTCTAGATGTTTATCTACTTTATTTAATATACATGGTAGTATAGATGAATTATTTTCGTACAGTTTACTCATTCCATCCACTCATGTGAAAACGAAATTACATAGAAAGCAGTTAAACTTTTTTCATATTTGTTCAAAAGCAACGTGATTCGATTTACAACCAGATCTTGAAAGAATGCTATCCGGAGCCTCGAGAGGTAAGCACAATATAATTAAGTACTGTACTACCAACTAAATCAAAAGAGGCTGCTTTTTTTAACTCTTGCCTCTTTTGAGAATAAACAAAAGTAAAGTAATATTTTTTGTTAAATAATATTTTTTGTTAATTACTATACAAAAGATATTTAGATAATGTAATAAGAAATAAATAAATTTGACAAATAGAATTTATTTTGTTTTTTTGGTAAAAATGTTTATATATACATATATTAGCGAAGGTATTAAATAAAATTTATTTTGTTTTTATGGTTTGATGAAAAAACTTCCTCATGATCCTTTGTACCATGGGTAAACCCCCGGCGTGGCTAAAGGGGACCTCCAACGCATGGCCTCGGGTATTCCAACTCATAGGCAGCTCCCCAAGAGAGTCAAACCAAGGACCTCATAGACAACTTACCAACTCGGCTGGACCCTCTATAGAGTTTATTTAATTTAACTTAAATATGTACTGTGTCAGACACTCATTTTGTGCAGAGGAGTTCTAGTTTGAATAAATTGAAGTTTAGATCAACCAGTAATACATCATAAAAATCTGGGAAAAAATAAATGACAAGTATAAATTTATTTGAGAACTACAAAATGGAAGAATGATTGGGTGAAAATGGAAATTCAGTGAGGAGAATAGATGAGATATAAGTATCCTCTAAAAGAAACTGCATGAAATACAGAAATCAACAGTACTGTTTGGCATGCTGTCAAACAATTGACGAGGAATAACAATCATACGGCGTGAAAGCAAACCTTGAATTGGCAATAAAAGATCTCTTGTAAAAAGGACAATGTCAGTTTACATCAAGGACCTCTAAGAATCATAGAAAAATAGATGGCCTTTAAATAGGAGTACAAGAGTTGCAGCAACAACATACTACTAGGTCATACTGCTCATCTAGAACATCATGCAGAACAGAAAACAGACTAACTAGAATACCATTCATATTTATGTCAATGTGATCTTACAATGTAAGATTTGATCCTCTGAAGCATCAGCCGTCCCCGAGAATAGTCTCCTTCTATAGGCAACAATGATGCACTATTTCTCTTCACTGAAAAGTGGGAAGCAGGATCAGTCAATATGATCACACTGCTTTTTGGCATTGACACCTGCAGAATTCTACATTTAAGAAAATGAAGTTAAACAAGCAGAAAAGAAAAACATGTAATTATTTCACTGTTAAAATGTCCTTGAGATGGTATCCATATGAACAATTCAATGTCTAAAAGAAGTAGATGAAAGAATGCTAAGACCCGTTCAATATGTGATTCAATAAAACAAACACCTCATTGGAAGGAACAAAATGAATCTTAAATTGATGATCGTTGCATATATCCTTTTTACCATCAAAATGGTGCTACCTATCGAGCATGAGATAAATGAAGAAGATGCTAACATGCTAAGCTGGCTCCAAATTTTTAGAAAAGATGACCTCAGGCAAGAGAAAGTTTCACATTAAGTAAACCTGATAGGTCAGCTCATTAAAACCTTAACTTAGGTCATGAATTAAGCTCATTCAGCCAATAAGCAAAAACCTAAAAAATTCTCCTAAATGAAGAAGGGACAAATCAACTTTGTACGACTTGAATTTGTCTCTGACAAAAGCCAGAAGAACAAAAACCCAAAGAGGTTGGGCGCTTATGTTCTAAAGCCATACTGATGCTAGGCACGTGGCAAAAAGGACACTAACACTTCCTGGAACACTTCTCCAACACACGCTAGACACTCCTCAAATGTTCCCTTAAATAAAAAGATTTAGTTTAGGAGTCTTAAGGTATTTATCATATAATTTTGAACACATGCTTTAAACTTCAGATATGCTTCTTTGTTCACATAAAATGCTTGAATATTTAACTCATCAAACTATTGATTTGTATAAAACTATAATATTAGGTTTATACATTTTTTAATACAAGATATGGACTACAGTAAGCTGCTCTACAGAAAATTGAAGAACCGACTTTTATGTAGTCATAAATCTCTATGAAAGTTAACATTTCAGCAAATATGTATCCATTGCATGTTCTATATAATTAGGAATATGATTATATAGAATATGAGTATACTTTTGGATGCATGGACATGTTTATGCATGCATCCCTCTCTCCATACATTCTAACATCATGTTGCTGTGTCTTGTGTCCTACTTTACAAGGATTTACTATGTCTGTGTTGGAACTTGGAACTATGTCTCGTATCTGTTGATGCTTTTTGGTGAATACACATTTCCAAGACTTATAATACAAGTTATCTAGAAAGATATCTTTTTATCACTACACCTTTGTTAAATCCAGACTAAGTCCCACTGTTTGGAATTTCAAATTGCAACAAAGACAATTTTCATTTAATAAAAGAGGAGCTTTTTAGTCTAAGGGCCCTGAATTAAATACATTTAGCAGCAAAAGAAGATTATCAACTACTGAGCAATGGTAAATAAACATATGGAGAAATTGCTTCAGTGTGTATAGAAAAAAGTAAGCAGAGTTAAAGGGAAAATTCTATAAGACAATTTTAAGACCCATGATGTTTTTTGGATCAAAATGTTGGGCAATTAAAACATGTGTAAAAAATGGGTGTAGTACAAATGAGACTGTTATGGTGGATGAGTGGACATACACTAAGGAATAGGATAAGAAATAAGTGCACTCATAATAAATGGGAAGTTGCCCTGCTCCTGTAGAGGATAAAATGAGAGAATCATTTGAGTCATGTGCAACGGAGGCCATTTGATGCACCAATTAGGATGAGCCATAAGATTATAATTAGTGGAGAAAGAACAAAAAGTGCGCCTAAGTAGACACTGTTTAGAAGGATATGATAATACTGAACTCAGTGGAGCACATAGCCTTCAACAAAACTAAATGGTATAACAGGATCCTTATAACCAGCCCCAAATATTTAGGATAAAAACTTTTGTTGTTGTATTTTTGAAGCTGCAATTAATAATCTCAGTCGATGAGAAATAGAGAAACACCCTCGTATACGCCAACTTAAGACCAACATGTGCGGTCATTAAGTCCAAGCAAATTACCTAAGGGTCTATTTGGAAACTTAAGACCTACTGCTCTAGTTTGAACTTAAATTTCAAATAAAATAATTCTACATTATGAACTTCAAGGCCCAAAACTATGAATTTCAAATCTTAGTCGAACCCATGGTATTTATCAAATCCCCGACTCCGACTCTCCTTTCTGTCTCACTAGGGTTTTTGTCTCTGTGCTCTCAGAATTATGATCGCAGGTACTCTCATCTTTTTTTTCTCTTGTCTCTAACGCTAATCTCTCTCTTCCCTCTAGATGAGCGCCTCTCTCCCCCCTCTAAACCTCATCACNACTCCCAGTATGTTTCTTATTAGTGTAAAAGAATTTGGTAATTTTGATGGGTTTTTACTGGAATTTGTTTACGGGGTTTAATTATCTTATTAGTAATAAATAATGTTTGATTATCTTATCTAATACTATTATAAAAGTGTGTTGCCATGTTAAAATATTTTTTTTCAAAAATACCCTCCAAGTCATGCTAAAACACATACATGCATACACAAAAACACATATATGAATACATAAAATATATACATACATAAACCATACCCCTTCAAATCTTTCTCATAACCACCATGTAATAAATGCACCTCCAATTTGCATTCACTACCATTAGAAAAATTAATTCAATTAAACTTCTTCTCTATTATTATATAATAATAACTCAATATAATAATACTATGTAGTAGTAATAATAATAATACTATGTAACAACATAGCCTACTATGCAATAGCTTCAAATTCTTATCGTAACTGCCAATTAAATATCATCATCAATTTAATAGCTCTACTAACTACAAATTAAACTCTAACCATTCATATCCCTAACCTCTCTAGGATCATTTCCTATATAATATCCGATGATTATACAACTTAATTCACATTCTCAATCAAACAATCAAGCTACATCCTCTCAAAGTGTAACCTCTTACTCTCTCTCCCTCTCTATCTCTCTCATACTCCTTGGCCTCCTTCAAACTCCATCAACGACGACTTCCACCTCCTGACCTTCACAACTAGCCACCACAGTCCTGGCCAATTTTACTTTTTGCCCTGGTGAACAGTAAAGAAAGGAAGTAAAGAAAGATAAATGTGTCTGTTTACTTTCATTTTTATAAATCTAGAATTGGTTGGTGTAATTTCAAAGGTGGATCCAATCATTATTATGGTCTGATATGTTTGATTTTATGATGAGCTTCAAGTTTATATAATTTGATGTAGTAGAGAGAAATTGTGATATTTTCTTGGTGATTTTGTTAGGGAGATCCAGTATTATGTAATAGTGTGACTAGAAATGTAAAGTATTGTTGTGAGAGTGAGTTGTATACTTTTTAGTTATGCATGAATAACTATGTACTTCATGTTCATTTGGTGGGAGAAAATTACTATTTATTGACCAAATAACTTGGTTGGTGCTATGTTTCATAGAGCTTAGGTGGAAAGGAAATCATTACTCAAAAAATGACATTTATCCTAATTCATTGTTACACATTTAAATTTTAACAACTACAATAAAAAAACATATTTAAATTATTTATAATTCTAATTAGTAAGTTTATAAATTATTTTAACATGACAACACATTTTTATAATAGTATTAGATATATATGTATATAATAATCTAAACAATTCACTGTCATTATGTGATTCATTTATTTTTTTAGAAATGAAAGACCCTTCTATCCGTTAATTTTAAAAAAAAGTAGGATAATAGTTCAAAAACAAAAAACAAATGAAGCTTAATAATAGAAACCTAATGTTACTAAGGTAAAGATAGTATAGAGTACATTAGTTAATATAATTATAATTGAGTGCATTGTAAATATTCAAGTTTGTCTACGTGCAAGGCACATACACTATACTAGTTAGTAATAAATAATGGTTGATTGAAATGATGATAAATGATTTTAATTTTAGAAAAAATTTGGGGAATCTCTATCTTAAACATGCATATCTCATTGTACGTACTTATTTGACCTTACTATATGAAATGGTGCAAGAATTACTGAAAAGTTGTCTATATCTCATAATTGACACTTATTGGTATCTTTTATATATCAATCTTGCTTCTCTAAGAAAGGGTGTTTGCCCTTATATATGTGTATGCAAAGATGAATCCGAGGAGAGGGTAGAGGGACACATGTTTCCACACACATGCTGAACTTTTAAAATTTTACCACAATTTTAAAAGGTGACCCATAGAATTTTATAGGTGTCCCCAAATCAACTAGATCATATACGTTCATTTCAACTCCGCAAGGTTCATCCATCCAAAAGCAAGCATTATTCAATTCAACTCAATAATCTAGATAAATGTATTGACATTCTTGTGATCATTATCTAAATAAGTTTTTCTATTGATACATTTATACTGTGTATTTTAGAATTTTCCAATATTAGTCTCTTAAGTAGTCACTCAAATCATTGATATTACTATTAAATCCCTCAATTCTTAAGCTATTATAAAATTAGCCCCTTAGATCACTAAAATTGCTATTAGGTCCCTCAAATATTTTTTTTTCAAAATATCCCCTCTAGTAAGGAGTATAATAGAAATTAAAGGGAATTAGTCCCTCAAATCATTCAGATTGATATTAGGTCCTTCAATGACCTCAACGCTCATAAGTTATTTCAAATCAATCCATTTAATTGCTACTTCTACTAAATGGCTTGAAATTAGGGAATCTAACGCAATTTAAGTAACTTGATGGACTAATTTCAAAATAAAAGAAGAATTGGGGACCTAATAGCAATTTTAATTATTTGAGGGACTAATTTTAATATATGATAAATTTAAGGGACTAATATAAAAAACCCATATTTTATTAGTTATTAATATAGTTGCATATGTTCCCCATAGAAAAAATTATGGATATGTCCCCTAATGTGTGGAAATAGAGGAATAGACATATATATAGTGGATTGGTTACATTAATGGATAAATAGACAGAATGACAAATAGATGAGGGAGGGCTAGCGATGGGTAAAGTTTGTATGTTTCACATTAATAAGCAATTTATGGAACATCTCGTAGGGGTAAGATTATGGCAGATACTCCGAAAACTTCT